CAGCACGATTTTTATATACATATATTTTTGTATATTTAGAGAATTTCGAGCAGACAGGGATGAATATACGAGCGTGCTCATGAGCATACTGGATGTTAAGGATTCTAGATTTCGGCATACCCTGGATTAGCCTCGGCGATTTGTCGCGATGAATTATAGCCACTGTTTGTGAATATATGAAAAAGCAGTATGTGGCCCTTTAGCTGCAGTACTAGTATAGTCGAGAAACCTGAGCAACGCGGATCGAGCGTAGAACAATCTAAAAAAAAACAACATGTAATGTAAGCCAACTGAGTAAGGATTCATTTGCATATACGTATACTGTCTGAAAGATTATATGTCAAAATGTGCTTTAAAATTCTCCTCAGCCAAAACTTTCTGCATCATTATGCATTTGGACATTTCTAAGTCAGTCCATGACGAAAAAGTTTATTCGAAATTTTCTAAGTCCCAAACTTTAGTTGACTCAAGATTGATCCCACGGGTAACGGGTAAGGTAATACTATTTATAATGTAGGACGGGTAAGGATTCATTTGCATATACGTATATTGTCTGAAAGTTTATATGTCAAAATGTTTATAAAATTTTCCTGCGACACAACTTTCTTGATCATTATGCCTTTTGGACATTTCTAAGTCAGTCCATGACGAAAAAGTTTATTCGAAATTTTCTAAGTCCCAAACTTTAGTTGACTCAAGATTGATCCCACGGGTAACGGGTAACGGTAATACTATTTATAATGTAGGACGGGTAAGGATTCATTTGCATATACGTATATTGTCTGAAAGTTTATATGTCAAAATGTTTATATGTTGTACACTATCTACATTATAAATGCAGTTTTTTTGTAGGAATGCTGTAGCATGAGTATTGTGTTATTTCGTTACCCGCATACCTAATGCGCACGCGCTGGGTTAATGCGTCCCACAAGTCTTCCATCAACGGAGTCGCAGCTGTATATACACGGAACCCGTACCATGAAGTAATGTGTGGAAGGCAATATATTCCAGAATCTTGCGAAAAGGGTGTCGGCATATAATGGTTTGGGGGCCGCCAGCACTCTCCCCCGTAGTTCGTTAAGATTCCGTACGGTATATATCACTATGTCTGGCGGCTAACACGAGACAACTCCCGTTCTCGTCGTGAATGTTAGCTGGAAATTTTTATTTATTTCTATTAATTTTTATTTGCACACATATAAGATATATGTTTGCAACGGCAAAAATTTTGCTTACAAAAATAGTCAACCTTTCACCATGTAAAACATGTCTAGCACGATTTTTATATACATATATTTCTGTATATTTAGAGAATTTCGAGCAGACAGGGATGAATATACGAGCCTGCTCATGAGCATACTGGATATTAAGGATTCTAGATTTCGGCATACCCTGGAGTAGCCTCGGCGATTTGTCGCGATGAATTATAGCCACTGTTTGTGAATATATGAAAAAGCAGTATGTGGCCCTTTAGCTGCAGATCAGCTCGAAATTTTCTAAGTGTCAAACTTTAGTTTGTTCAAGATTGATCCTACTACGGGTTACGGGTAAGCTAATAGTATTTATAATGTCGGACGGACGGGTAAGGATTCATTTGCATATACGTCTACTGCCTGAAAGTTTATATGTCAAAATGTGCTTTAAAATTCTCCTGAGCCAAAACTTTCCGCATCAATATGCGTTTTGAACATTTCTAAGTCGGTCGACGACGAAAAAACTTTTTCGATCAGCTCGAAATTTTCTAAGTGTCAAACTTTAGTTGACTCAAGATTGATCCTACGGGTTACGGGTAAGCGTAATAGTATTTATAATGATCGGACGGGTAAGGATTCATTTGCATATACGTCTACTGCCTGAAAGTTTATATGTCAAAATGTGCTTTAAAATTTTCCTGAGCCAAAACTTTCGGCATCATTATGCGTTTGGAACATTTCTAAGTCGGTCGATGACGAAAAAACTTTTTCGATCAGCTCGAAATTTTCTAAGTCTCAAACTTTAGTTGACTCAAGATTGATCCCACGGGTAACGGGTAAGCGTAATACTATCTATAATGTAGGACGGGTAAGGATTCATTTGCATATACTTATATTGTCTGAAAGTTTATATGTCAAAATGTGCTTCAAAATTTTCCTGAGCGAAAACTTTCTTCATCATTATGCCTTTTGGATATTTCTAAGTCGGTCCATGACGAAAAATTTTATTCGATCAGCTCGAATTTTCTAAGTCCCAAACTTTAGTTGACTGAAGATTGATCCCACGGGTAACGGGTAAGCGTAATACTATTTATAATGTAGGACGGGTAAGGATTCATTTGCATATACGTATACTGTCTGAAAGTTTATATGTCAAAATGTGCTTCAAAATTTTCCTGTGCCACAACTTTCTTCATCATTATGCCTTTTGGACATTTGTAAGTCGGTCCATGACGAAAAAGTTTATTCGATCAGCTCGAAATTTTCTAAGTCCCAAACTTTATTTGACTGAAGATTGATCCCACGGGTAACGGGTAAGCGTAATACTATTTATAATGTAGGACGGGTAAGGATTCATTTGCATATACTTATACTGTCTGAAAGTTTATTTGTCAAAATGTTTATATGTTATACAGTGTCTATATTATCTTCATCATTATGCCTTTTGGACATTTGTAAATCGGTCCATGACGAAAAAGTTTATTCGATCAGCTCGAAATTTTCTAAGTCCCAAACTTTATTTGACTGAAGATTGATCCCACGGGTAACGGGTAAGCGTAATACTATTTATAATGTAGGACGGGTAAGGATTCATTTGCATATACTTATACTGTCTGAAAGTTTATTTGTCAAAATGTTTATATGTTATACAGTGTCTATATTATAAGTCTAGTTTTTTTATAAGAATGCTTTTGCATGAGTATTGTGTTATTTCGTTATGCGCATACCCAATGCGCACGCGCTTGGTTATTGCGTCCCACAAGCCTTCCATCAACGGAGTCGCAACTGTATATACACGGAACCCGTACCATGTAATAATGTGTGGAAGGCGATATATTCCAGAATCTTGCGAAAAGGGTGTCGGCACATAATGGTTTGGGGGCCGCCAGCACTCTCCCCCGTAGTTCGTTAAGATTCAGTATGGTATATATCACCATGTCTGCAGTGTGGATTATAACGGTCGGCAATCGGCTATTTGCCGAACAAAAACACCAAATGGCCGATCAATTTCATTCTGCACGGACATTTTGTCCGATCAAATAAAATACACCACACTGTTCATTTAAATTGAAGGTAGTTTATGTGAAAAGTACTGTTTGAAAAGCATCTAACTATGCCTACGATACCATGCAATCAATAAATATTTGGATGAAAAAATCACTCAGAGGAAACATTGTCATTGAGCTTCTCTTTTAGCAAATACTCTCTCAAGTGACCGAATCTCGATAGTTACAGTCCATAGCCGGCGGCGTTTACAATACTTACTACTTACAAAAATATGTTTCATTTCTATAAGCCGTAGGCCTAGCTATATATTAGTAAATACCTTTATTTCCTAAAGAAACACAAACAAAGTGAAGGCGCGGAGGACGTTGCTAGTTGGCGTACACCAAGCTTTTTTCTGCATGCAAATGTGCAATCAATAATGGTACGTCGATCTGTAGCACTGTCACGTAAAAATGGTTGAAATAGTTGACTGATCATTCTTGGCCAATATCCGAGCAACAGTCATCGGACAGTTGTCAGACCTAAGCAAAAACGTTATAATCCACGCTGCATGTCTGGCGGCTAACACGAGACAACTCCCGTTCTCGTCGTGAATGTTAGCTGGAAATTTTTATTTATTTCTATTAATTTTTATTTACACACATATAAGATATATGTTTTCAACAGCAAAAATTTTCCTTTCAAAAATTGTCAACCTTTCACCATGTAAAACATCTCCAGCACGTTTCTATATACATATATTTCTGTATATTTAGAAAATTTCGAGCAGACAGTGAAAAATTTTCTCACAAACAGACCAATATACGAGCGTGCTCATGAGCATACTGAATGATAAGGATGCTAGATTTCGGCATACCCTGCAGTAGCCTCGACGATTTGTCGCGATGAATTAAGGATATGGGATTTCGGCATACCTTGTAGCTAGCCACTGTTTGTAATGGCTATATGAAAAAGCAGTATTTGGCCCTTTAATTAGCTGCAGTACTAGTATAGTTGAGAAATCCGGGTAACGCGGAGCGAAGAAAACCCGTATAAGCCTACTGATTAAGACGGATCAACAAGTCTGTAAGTACGGATAACGAACATTTGCACTAGTCATCTCAAATTTGAAAATGTGTTTTAAAATTCTCCTGAGCCATAACTATCTTCATCAATATGCGTTTTGAATCTTTCTCGGTCGATCTATGTCCAGTATGACAAAAACAATTTTCCATCAGTCCGAAATTTAGTTGACTCGAGAATCCCGGATAACGGATAAGGTTAGTATAATTTATTATGAAGGACGGATAACGAACATTTGCATAACTCATATCAAATTTGAAAATGTCCTGTAAAATTCTCCTGAGCCATAACTATCTGCATCAATATAGTACATATACATATACATACTTTATTGTGTTCCCTAAATAGGGATTTTCAACACTGATTCGTTTTGAATCTTTCTCGGTCGATCTATGTCCAGTATGACAAAAACAATTTTCCATCAGTCCGAAATTTAGTTGACTCGAGAATCCCGGATAACGGATAAGGTTAGTATAATTTATTATGAAGGACGGATAACGAACATTTGCATAACTCATATCAAATTTGAAAATGTCCTGTAAAATTCTCCTGAGCCATAACTATCTGCATCAATATATACATATACATATACATACTTTATTGTGTTCCCTAAATAGGGATTTTCAACACTGATTTACAAAAAATAAATGTTGTTCTATTTACAAGTTTTAGAATCTAGAATTTAAATTAAGGTAAAAAGGTAAGACATTTGTATAAAGTTTAACAAGGTAAAATTATCTACTTATATATTTGTTCTAGCATGCTTCGCTTCAGTTCGTTTTTGAAAGTTTTTAGAGAGTCTAACTTTTTGTACTTTATGTCCAAATCATTCCAGAGTGTAACGCCTCTATAATGAAAGGACCTTTGACCTGCAGAAGTTTTGTATAATGGTATTTGCAGTGAGTCATGGCTACGTGTATCTCGTTGATGAATGTCAGAACGTTTTGTGAATAAATCGCTCAAATAATGTGGAGCAAGTTCATTGACACATTTGTACATCATAATAGCCTCTCTTAGTAGTAATTGTTCCTTTACTGGGAGCCAGTTAAGTTCGCGTAAGCCCGGCGAAATATGGTCGAACTTTCCAATATTTGTTATTATCCTGCATGCAAAATTTTGTACCAACTGTAGTTTCTTAATGTTGGTAGACGAAGTGTTTGACCAAACCGTTGAACAATAGAACATTTTGTTCATTACAAGTGCCGAGACGATGAGAGTTAAAGCTTCTTTATCGAAACATTTTTTGACTCGGTTTATTTGGCACAGGGAATTCATACATGAGGAAACCAGGTTGGTGATGTGCTGGTCATATGTCAAATAAGAGTCGATTGTCATTCCTAGATCTTTGGCAAAGGAGACGGGGGTAATAGTCTCGTTGAGGAAGTTTATGGTCATATCTACGGGAAGTTGTTGTAGGTTTTGCCGTGTGCCAATCAGCATGTATTTGGTCTTTCCCGGGTTAATAAGCAATTCATTTTCGGAACAACTGTTTGCAATCAAATACAAGTCTTCCTCAAGTTGTTGCTTTAAACAGTCCACGTTAGCCACAGTGAAAGATAGTAATATCTTGGAGTCGTCCACGTACGATTCAAGTTTACTATGGTGGACTGATGAGGGCAGATCGTTAGTATAAATACTAAAAAGTAAAGGTGATAAAATTGCACCCTGTGGTACACCATAAGAAACAGGGAGAGGAGTAGACACAGTTGATCCAATTCTGACTGATTGAGTTCTTCCGGTCAAGTAACTCTCAAACCATTTTACAACACTTGGAGAAGCCCCGACGTTGCTAAGTTTTGTAAGGAGAAAAGTTTTCTTATGGCCAAATCGTTTTCATTGAGAAAACCTTTCTTGCGTGCCTGTCGTAACTTATATCCACGTTTGTTGAGCAATCTTGACACAGTTCGTCTACTGTAGTTTGCTATTTCCAGTCCACTTTCTGACATAAGGTCTTTTATTGAAAAGCTGGGCGATTTACGTCTCAGTTGAAGAAAAGTCCGCAGAATAATTCTCTCGGTTCTTTCAGTTACAACTTTTGGTCGACCACGTTTTCTTTCTCTAGATTTCGTTTTCATTTTCCTATTGCAAATGTTGTAAGCAGTAGATTTTGAAACACCGTACTTTCTACCAAGTTCTCTATAACTTAAATGTACAAACTCTTTTGTTAACTGGACCAATGCACGTTTTTCTGAAGATATATTTTGAACCATATTTGCGCACGCTTATGCATGCAGCCTTTAATGACTGTTTGTTACGATTAATAATCAAATTATTATTACCAGTGACGTCATAAATTGATCCAATGTTGATGAATTACTTCAAAAAGGCTCTAGTAGCATAGCATGTCCACCTAACTGAGCAAATGTAAACCTTTTAATGTAATAAAAAGGTTTAATTTCTATGACTCGTTTTCAGACAATCCTGGCCAAAAACTTTGTGGACAGTACAAAATTGTAGCAAATTATATAATACATTTAGATATATTGCATAATATCTGTCAAACCCCCACACCCCCATCTCAATGTTGCAGTCCAATATGATATATACAGAGTTGCCGAAGCGAAAACGATTTCAACATTGTTTTGGGGGAGTGGGGGCGTAAGTTATAGCATTAAATCCATCCTAAACGCATATGAGCCTACCTGTCCACATGATTTTGGCCAGGATTGTCTGAAAATTATGTGTTCTTAAAAATTGCTAATTTTTACGTAAAAACGGGTGAAAATACGAGAACTTTTGTTATGATGATATTATTTAGGATATTTGTGATCAATTAATAAGTTTTATGTACAATTTGATTTATTTTATTGTACAGTAGGTATAACCGAGGATATAAATATTAATTTACCTGTGTTACAGGATTTCAGGAGGTATAACGTACAGAAGCACAATCACGTGAATGCGCGTGATTATATTTATAAATAGCTCTATATCCAGTTATGACTTCATTTTAGTATTTGTAACAATATACTATTAATATTGCAATATGGCTGCGGTAGATACATGAAGCAGTCTCCGTAGTTCAGCAGTAAGAAGCGTATACTTAGTAACTTATAGTCGAGCTGATTTGAGCAAATTTCCGAATCGAAGAGATTTTGCTGAAGCACTCGTTACTTCGTTTGAGAAAGGTTCTGCTAAAGTGAAGCACTGGTGTTGTAGCAGAGAAAACCACGCGGATGGCGCTAAACATTATCACATGGTGTTGAAATTGCATAAGTCACAAAGATGGCTGCAATCCAAGAGGTTTCTCGAGGAAAATTTTGCCATAGAGGTAAATTATTCGAGTAATCATCATAACTACTACAGTGCTTGGCGATACGTCACAAAGGAGGACAGTAGCTATGAAGAAAGTGAATCACACCCAGATCTTAATAGCTATAAAGAACCGAAGACCACCAACGCGAGCATGGCCAAAATACAAACTGGTCAAAAACGCAGTGCCGCAGTGCAGGGGAGAGGAAATGTATGCAAAGGAAAAAAGCGATCTAAAAAAGAAAAGGAAAAGCGTTTGAGCGCATTTGACGTCTCTGAAGTCATTCTTAAAAGAAATATTAAAACAATGACAGAGCTACACGCATATGCTCACGAACAAAGAGAGGAGGGAAAGACAGACTTAGTTCAGTTCATCTTGTGCAAACCACCCAAAGCAATTCAGGACTTGCTAGACACTACTTGGCGCATGAAAACTGCCAAGGAAGTATTAGAACGATGTAAGAAAAGTCGAATGGAATTGTTTAACGAGGCGTCAAAGCAAGATTGCCGAGCAGGATGTAACGGTGTCTGGCTTCAGTGCGCAAAACAGATTCTCGAGAACAATGGAATCGATAAGAGGAAATTTGGGCAAGCGGTTGTTGACCTATTAAAAAAGGACGTGGGAAGCATCGCAATCTCATGATCGTTGGTCCAGCCAACTGTGGTAAAACGTTTATTTTAAAGCCATTGACTGAACTTTATAAAACATTTTAAATCCCGCTTCGGGATCGTTTGCATGGGTTGGCGTAGAAGAAGCGGAGTGCATTTTTTTAAATGATTTTCGGTGGAGCCCCACGTTGATACCATGGCACGATCTGTTGTTAATGTTAGAAGGGGAGTTGGTTCATTTGCCAGCGCCTAAAACGCATTTCGTCCGAGACATCGAGCTGGTCAAAGATACGCCGATATTTTCCACCAGCAAGAGGCCATTAATCTTTATCAAAAATGGCACTGTGGATGATCTGGAATCAGAAATGATGGCCGTACGCTGGAATATTGTATCATTCAATTTCCAAATTCCACAAGATCAGCAACGGAATATACCACCTTGTGTTCGCTGTTTTACGGACCTTTTATCAGCAACTGAATCAAGCCTCAGTTAAACACGTAGACTGGTATCATATTTCATTATGTTATGAAGCCATATGCTATAAATGTATACCACGGTCTACAGACACGGTCTACAGTCAGTTGAAGTGCTTTTCAATGTTTTTTTCACACTGGAGAAAAAAGTATTTAAACTAATTTGTTCTTCAATGTGTTAACCTGATTAAAGTCTTACGGTTAATGTAATACACAGTTTGGGAAAGGGCGTATATCTCAAATCACCACGGTCTACACATAAAATGTGCTATTCTTGAATATTAATGAGATCTTGCTAAATTGTTATTAAGGCTAATCTATTTGTGTGTAGACCGTCGTAAAATTTTCATTTTTGTATATATCAAGTTGTTGCTACCTTATAACAAACTATTTGAATTTAAGCTAAATTCTAACGTTAAAAACATCGTTATATGTTTTAATAATTTGTTATTTTGAAAGGCTATAATTTTTGTAGACCGTCGCACGTAGACCGTCACACAACAAACTGTACTACAGTACTATATACGTGTATCTATATATAGCACATGCTGTTTGTTTCGTTTTAGATATAATTAGAATCTCAGTTGCTGGTGGGAAAATAACTTTTAATACACGTTAAAAATGAAATATACACACAATCCATATTTAAAGTTTTTCATGTTATTTCGTTGATATTATAAATGTTTTTAGTTTACAAATAAAGTTTGATTATAGTTTGAAATACATGGAAATATAGATACATAATTATATGGTTTCTACTTATATATTTCTATTTGCATTAACGTTAGTGGTACCCATGAGTATTTCAAATTAACCTCGTATATATCATGGAAATCTTAGACATATTTACATAATTAATACTTAATTCGCTTACCCTTCGATGCTAATATAGCCTCGATGCGTTTAGGCATACTCTCAATTGTGCGATCTAAAATGCTCATATCTACATTGTCAAAGCAACGCAAAACTCTATTCTTAAACTCATCGAAACTTTCTTTCCTTATTTGTAAGTCAATAGCTTCTTTTTCCAGACTAGTTTTAACAATATGAAACACATTTTCGATAGGGTTTACATCGGGTGAGCGTGCTGGGATTTGATGAAGTTCACATTCAATTTCTTTTAAGGCAGACATTGCCTTTTTGCTTGTCTGGGATGGATCATTGTCCATTACGAATAGACGCTTTCTATCAGCTTTAGGACCGGCTTTTCCAAAGCACAAATTAAAATGATTCTTTATAAAGTTATAGAAAAATGTTCCGTCCATTTTGTCATACGGTTCTTTCAGGATAACTCCTTTGCCATGCGCTATAGCAACGACCAAATGAAGACGTTTCCCGCCAGGCAAGCTTTTGCTACCCTTTGCTGTCAATGTCAATCCCTCGTCTTTAGTTCTCCAAACTCTTGCTTTCGGTTGCATAGCTGCCTTCAAGGGATCACACTTGTGAATAAAAGACACCCCGTCGAGGTAGAACGCAATATGATTTGTAAAAAAATTGGGTTCATCACGTAATGTTTTTTCATTGCCTGTGCATACATACATACATACATACTTTATTGTGTTCCCTAAATAGGGATTTTCAACACTGATTTACAAAAAATAAATGTTGTTCTATTTACAAGTTTTAGAATCTAGAATTTAAATTAAGGTAAAAATGTAAGACATTTGTATAAAGTTTAACAAGGTAAAATTATCTACTTATATATTTGTTCTAGCATGCTTCGCTTCAGTTCGTTTTTGAAAGTTTTTAGGGAGTCTAACTTTTTGTACTTTATGTCCAAATCATTCCAGAGTGTAACGCCTCTATAATGAAAGGACCTTTGACCTGCAGAAGTTTTGTATAATGGTATTTGCAGTGAGTCATGGCTACGTGTATCTCGTTGATGAATGTCAGAACGTTTTGTGAATAAATCGCTCAAATAATGTGGAGCAAGTTCATTGACACATTTGTACATCATAATAGCCTCTCTTAGTAGTAATTGTTCCTTTACTGGGAGCCAGTTAAGTTCTCTTCCGATCTCCGGCGAAATATGGTCGAACTTTCCAATATTTGTTATTATCCTGCATGCAAAATTTTGTACCAACTGTAGTTTCTTAATGTTGGTAGACGAAGTGTTTGACCAAACCGTTGAAACAATAGAACATTTTGTTCATTACAAGTGCCGAGACGATGAGAGTTAAAGCTTCTTTATCGAAACATTTTTTGACTCGGTTTATTTGGCACAGGGAATTCATACATGAGGAAACCAGGTTGGTGATGTGCTGGTCATATGTCAAATAAGAGTCGATTGTCATTCCTAGATCTTTGGCAAAGGAGACGGGGGTAATAGTCTCGTTGAGGAAGTTTATGGTCATATCTACGGGAAGTTGTTGTAGGTTTTGCCGTGTGCCAATCAGCATGTATTTGGTCTTTCCCGGGTTAATAAGCAATTCATTTTCGGAACAACTGTTTGCAATCAAATACAAGTCTTCCTCAAGTTGTTGCTTTAAACAGTCCACGTTAGCCACAGTGAAAGATAGTAATATCTTGGAGTCGTCCACGTACGATTCAAGTTTACTATGGTGGACTGATGAGGGTAAATCGTTAGTATAAATACTAAAAAGTAAAGGTGATAAAATTGCACCCTGTGGTACACCATAAGAAACAGGGAGAGGAGTAGACACAGTTGATCCAATTCTGACTGATTGAGTTCTTCCGGTCAAGTAACTCTCAAACCATTTTACAACACTTGGAGAAGCCCCGACGTTGCTAAGTTTTGTAAGGAGAAAAGTTTTCTTATGGCCAAATCGTTTTCATTGAGAAAACCTTTCTTGCGTGCCTGTCGTAACTTATATCCACGTTTGTTGAGCAATCTTGACACAGTTCGTCTACTGTAGTTTGCTATTTCCAGTCCACTTTCTGACATAAGGTCTTTTATTGAAAAGCTGGGCGATTTACGTCTCAGTTGAAGAAAAGTCCGCAGAATAATTCTCTCGGTTCTTTCAGTTACAACTTTTGGTCGACCACGTTTTCTTTCTCTAGATTTCGTTTTCATTTTCCTATTGCAAATGTTGTAAGCAGTAGATTTTGAAACACCGTACTTTCTACCAAGTTCTCTATAACTTAAATGTACAAACTCTTTTGTTAACTGGACCAATGCACGTTTTTCTGAAGATATATTTTGAACCATATTTGCGCACGCTTATGCATGCAGCCTTTAATGACTGTTTGTTACGATTAATAATCAAATTATTATTACCAGTGACGTCATAAATTGATCCAATGTTGATGAATTACTTCAAAAAGGCTCTAGTAGCATAGCATGTCCACCTAACTGAGCAAATGTAAACCTTTTAATGTAATAAAAAGGTTTAATTTCTATGACTCGTTTTCAGACAATCCTGGCCAAAAACTTTGTGGACAGTACAAAATTGTAGCAAATTATATAATACATTTAGATATATTGCATAATATCTGTCAAACCCCCACACCCCCATCTCAATGTTGCAGTCCAATATGATATATACAGAGTTGCCGAAGCGAAAACGATTTCAACATTGTTTTGGGGGAGTGGGGGCGTAAGTTATAGCATTAAATCCATCCTAAACGCATATGAGCCTACCTGTCCACATGATTTTGGCCAGGATTGTCTGAAAATTATGTGTTCTTAAAAATTGCTAATTTTTACGTAAAAACGGGTGAAAATACGAGAACTTTTGTTATGATGATATTATTTAGGATATTTGTGATCAATTAATAAGTTTTATGTACAATTTGATTTATTTTATTGTACAGTAGGTATAACCGAGGATATAAATATTGATTTACCTGTGTTACAGGATTTCAGGAGGTATAACGTACAGAAGCACAATCACGTGGAATGCGCGTGATTATATTTATAAATAACTCTATATTTAGTTATGACTTAATTTTAGTATTTGTAACAATATACTATTAATATTGCAATATGGCTGCGGTAGATACAGGAAGCAGTCTCCGTAGTTCAGCAGTAAGAAGCGTATACTTAGTAACTTATAGTCGAGCTGATTTGAGCAAATTTCCGAACCGAAGAGATTTTGCTGAAGCACTTGTTACTTCGTTTGAGAAAGGTTCTGCTAAAGTGAAGCACTGGTGTTGTAGCAGAGAAAACCACGCGGATGGCGCTAAACATTATCACATGGTGTTGAAATTGCATAAGTCACAAAGATGGCTGCAATCCAAGAGGTTTCTCGAGGAAAATTTTGCCATAGAGGTAAATTATTCGAGTAATCATCATAACTACTACAGTGCTTGGCGATACGTCACAAAGGAGGACAGTAGCTATGAAGAAAGTGAATCACACCCAGATCTTAATAGCTATAAAGAACCGAAGACCACCAACGCGAGCATGGCCAAAATACAAACTGGTCAAAAACGCAGTGCCGCAGTGCAGGGGAGAGGAAATGTATGTAGAGGAAAGAAGCGATCTAAAAAAGAAAAGCAAAAGCGTTTGACCGCATTTGACGTCTCTGAAGTCATTCTTAAAAGAAATATTAAAACAATGACAGAGCTACACGCATATGCTCACGAACAAAGAGAGGAGGGAAAGACAGACTTAGTTCAGTTCATCTTGTGCAAACCACCCAAAGCAATTCAGGACTTGCTAGACACTACTTGGCGCATGAAAACTGCCAAGGAAGTATTAGAACGATGTAAGAAAAGTCGAATGGAATTGTTTAACGAGGCGTCAAAGCAAGATTGCCGAGCAGGATGTAACGGTGTCTGGCTTCAGTGCGCAAAACAGATTCTCGAGAACAATGGAATCGATAAGAGGAAATTTGGGCAAGCGGTTGTTGACCTATTAAAAAAAGGACGTGGGAAGCATCGCAATCTCATGATCGTTGGTCCAGCCAACTGTGGTAAAACGTTTATTTTAAAGCCATTGACTGAACTTTATAAAACGTTTTTAAATCCCGCTTCGGGATCGTTTGCATGGGTTGGCGTGGAAGAAGCGGAGTGCATTTTTTTAAATGATTTTCGGTGGAGCCCGACGTTGATACCATGGCACGATCTGTTGTTAATGTTAGAAGGGGAGTTGGTTCATTTGCCCGCGCCTAAAACGCATTTCGTCCGAGACATCGAGCTGGTCAAAGATACGCCGATATTTTCCACCAGCAAGAGGCCATTAATCTTTATCAAAAATGGCACTGTGGATGATCGGGAATCAGAAATGATGGCCGTACGCTGGAATATTGTATCATTCAATTTCCAAATTCCACAAGATCAGCAACGGAATATACCACCTTGTGTTCGCTGTTTTACGGACCTTTTATCAGCAACTGAATCAAGCCTCAGTTAAACACGTAGACTGGTATCATATTTCCTTATGTTATGAAGCCATATGCTATAAATGTATACCACGGTCTACAGACACGGTCTACAGTCAGTTGAAGTGCTTTTCAATGTTTTTTTTCACACTGGAGAAAAAAGTATTTAAACTAATTTATTCTTCAATGTGTTAACCTGATTAAAGTCTTACGGTTAATGTAATACACAGTTTGGGAAAGGGCGTATATCTCAAATCACCACGGTCTACACATAAAATGTGCTATTCTTGAATATTAATGAGATCTTGCTAAATTGTTATTAAGGCTGATCTATTTGTGTGTAGACCGTCGTAAAATTTTCATTTTTGTATATATCAAGTTGTTGCTACCTTATAACAAACTATTTGAATTTAAGCTAAATTCTAACGTTAAAAACATCGTTATATGTTTTAATAATTTGTTATTTTGAAAGGCTATAATTTTTGTAGACCGTCGCACGTAGACCGTCACACAACAATCTGTACTACAGTATACTATATACGTGTATCTATATATAGCACATGCTGTTTGTTTCGTTTTAGATATAATTAGAATCTCAGTTGCTGGTGGGAAAATAACTTTTAATACACGTTAAAAATGAAATATACACACAATCCATATTTAAAGTTTTTCATGTTATTTCGTTGATATTATAAATGTTTTTAGTTTACAAATAAAGTTTGATTATAGTTTGAAATACATGGAAATATAGATACATAATTATATGGTTTCTACTTATATATTTCTATTTGCATTAACGTTAGTGGTACCCATGAGTATTTCAAATTAACCTCGTATATATCATGGAAATCTTAGACATATTTACATAATTAATACTTAATTCGCTTACCCTTCGATGCTAATATAGCCTCGATGCGTTTAGGCATACTCTCAATTGTGCGATCTAAAATGCTCATATCTACATTGTCAAAGCAACGCAAAACTCTATTCTTAAACTCATCGAAACTTTCTTTCCTTATTTGTAAGTCAATAGCTTCTTTTTCCAGACTAGTTTTAACAATATGAAACACATTTTCGATAGGGTTTACATCGGGTGAGCGTGCTGGGATTTGATGAAGTTCACATTCAATTTCTTTTAAGGCAGACATTGCCTTTTTGCTTGTCTGGGATGGATCATTGTCCATTACGAATAGACGCTTTCTATCAGCTTTAGGACCGGCTTTTCCAAAGCACAAATTAAAATGATTCTTTATAAAGTTATAGAAAAATGTTCCGTCCATTTTGTCATACGGTTCTTTCAGGATAACTCCTTTGCCATGCGCTATAGCAACGACCAAATGAAGACGTTTCCCGCCAGGCAAGCTTTTGCTACCCTTTGCTGTCAATGTCAATCCCTCGCCTTTAGTTCTCCAAACTCTTGCTTTCGGTTGCATAGCTGCCTTCAAGGGATCACACTTGTGAATAAAAGACACCCCGTCGAGGTAGAACGCAATATGATTTGTAAAAAAATTGGGTTCATCACGTAATGTTTTTTTCATTGCCTGTGCATACCGTTTTCTTATGGCCAAATCGTTTTCATTGAGAAGACCTTTCTTGCGTGCCTGTCGTAACTTATATCCACGTTTGTTGAGCAATCTTGACACAGTTCGTCTACTGTAGTTTGCTATTTCCAGTCCACTTTCTGACATAAGGTCTTTTATTGAAAAGCTGGGCGATTTACGTCTCAGTTGAAGAAAAGTCCGCAGAATAATTCTCTCGGTTCTTTCAGTTACAACTTTTGGTCGACCACGTTTTCTTTCTCTAGATTTCGTTTTCATTTTCCTATTGCAAATGTTGTAAGCAGTAGATTTTGAAACACCGTACTTTCTACCAAGTTCTCTATAACTTAAATGTACAAACTCTTTTGTTAACTGGACCAATGCACGTTTTTCTGAAGATATATTTCGAACCATATTTGCGCACGCTTATGCATACAGCCTTTAATGACTGTTTGTTACGATTAATAATCAAATTATTATTACCAGTGACGTCATAAGTTGATCCAATGTTGATGAATTACTTCAAAAAGGCTCTAGTAGCATAGCATGTCCACCTAACTGAGCAAATGTAAACCTTTTAATGTAATAAAAAGGTTTAATTTCTATGACTCGTTTTCAGACAATCCTGGCCAAAAACTTTGTGGACAGTACAAAATTGTAGCAAATTATATAATACATTTAGATATATTGCATAATATCTGTCAAACCCCCACACCCCCATCTCAATGTTGCAGTCCAATATGATATATACAGAGTTGCCGAAGCGAAAACGATTTCAACATTGTTTTGGGGGAGTGGGGGCGTAAGTTATAGCATTAAATCCATCCTAAACGCATATGAGCCTACCTGTCCACATGATTTTGGCCAGGATTGTCTGAAAATTATGTGTTCTTAAAAATTGCTAATTTTTACGTAAAAACGGGTGAAAATACGAGAACTTTTGTTATGATGATATTATTTAGGATATTTGTGATCAATTAATAAGTTTTATGTACAATTTGATTT